GGGTACGGAGACCGCCGCCAGGATCGCCAAGGGGCGCACCTTGTTCTTCTCGCCGATGAAATTCCTCGCTGCGGTGATCGTGGCCTTCGCGGCCTCTCCAGCCTGCGCCGAGGGCGGAGCGAGAGCCAAGCACATACTCATCTCATTGTTACTATTATTATTCCTCCTCCTCCTCATCCTTCTCCTCCTCCTCTTCCTCCTCCTCCTTCTCCTCCCCCCTCCTCCCCCTCCTCATCCTCCTCCTCCTTCCCCTGCTCCTCCTCCTCCTCTCATTATTCTGTTACTTTCTTATTAATACGACTAGTATTAGTATTAATATTATTCGCATCATTGCTAGCATTGTTAATAGTAATGTTGATAATCCTAGTGCTAGTATTATTCTGATCAGGATTAGTATTATTATTGGCACTCGTATTATTATTTTTATTGTGTTAAAAGTTATCGATCCTAGTATTATTATTCTAAATGTTATTATGAAATGATTATTCGTGTTACTCCTTTCATATTTACTAGTATTATGATTGTTAATAGTCGTCTCCTTATTATTATTGACATTCTTAGTAGTAGTATGAGTAATACTACTCTTCTTCGTAACAAAAAATCTTGTACTATTCCTACTAATATTGTTACCATTATTCTTCTTACGATTATTATGATGAATATTATTATTATTCATATGATTGTTGTTAGTATTGTGATTCCTCCTCCTCCTCCTCTTCATCAGAAGCAACAGCAGCAGCAGCAGCATCAGCATCAGCATCATCATCCTCGTCATCATCATCATCATCACCACAACCATCATCATCATCATCATCATCATCATCATCATCAGCAGCAGCAGCAGCAGCAGCATCATCATCAGCAGCATATATAATCATCATCATGAGCATCAGCATCAGCATCATCAGCAGCAGCAGCATCAGCATCATCATCATCAGCAGCATCGTCATCATCATCATCATCAGCATCATCATCATCATCATCATCATTATCATCATCATCATCGTCATCGTCATCATCATCATCAGCATCAGCATCATCATCATCATCCTCATCATCAACAGCAGCATCATCGCCATCATCATCATCATCATCAGCAGCAGCATCATCATCACAACCATCATCATCGTCATCGTCGTCATCATCATCAGCATCAGCATCAGCATCAGCGTCAGCATCATCAGCATCATCCTTATCATCATCATAATCATCGTCATCCTCATCGCCATCCTCCTCATCATCATCATCATCACCACCACCATCAGCATACGTAATCATCATCATGATCATAATCATCGGCATCATCATCAAGCCCTGGCCCGAGTTTCTGAGACGTGAGGGCCCGTTCGCTTGCTCTCGCAGTTTTGGACCGCCTCTCGGCACTGCGATGTGTGGCCACTCGCATGAAGATAATGCAGTGGAACCTCGTGTCCCTTTCAGAGAATGATAGACGACCAGAGGTGGCGCAAGAGGTCGAATTCGAAGATGTTATCTTGCTTTCTAGCACAACTGTCAAGGGAGTGTAGGATCACCCGACTTATCAAGAGCTGTTCCACCACAAAGATTTGTTGATGCTCCGCACGGCGCAGGCCCCGCAACCTTGGCGACTGGTCAAAGACCCCATCGTAGCGCTGGTCCTACCGCTGAGGAGGGTCAACTGGGGCTTCGTTGGCGAGGACCCCTACACCATCCACGACGCCCGCGGCTCGACCTACGACGTGAGGCGCTGATCGCCAGCCTCCTTCGGCAATCTCATCATGATGGAACGCAGGAGGGCCCTCGGAGTAGGGGAGGTCTGCTGGCAGGGGCCCAGCATGTAGGCCTGGGACGTTTGGTCCGTCGCGGAGGCCAGCCCGCAGCGTGCTCTACGAGGCCTCATCTAGAACGTCTACTGGTGCCAGGAGAGGGTCGGAGCCAGCCACCCGTCCAGCCCAATGAACTGCCAGCTCTGCGGCCACCCAAGGGGGACGCACTACCACAGACGGTTTGTGTGCGACGCCCATGCTGCCGGGCGCCGTCACACGCTGGACCCCGACCTCAAGCTTGCAGCCCAGGCAGTGGCGGATCTGGGGCTTCCCCACAACGACCTGTTCGCCAGGGGGCTATTTCCAGACGTGGCGGCATTTTCCAGCGGCCAGCTCGCACAAGGGGCATCGAGCTCAGGTGCACTGCAACACGGCACCCGCTGGGACCCTTCCTCGAGAAGGGCTGGCTCGTGTTCGTGAACGGGTCGGGCTTTGACCAGAACTTCCCCTCGATTCGCACGGCGTGGTGGTCAGTCATCCTCTGCGACGCCCACAGGCGCTTCGCGGCGGCAGCGTGGGCCGCGGTGCCGCTCGAGCAAACGCCAGGGCAGCTCCCCACCGCGACGGCGAGGATCACGCGGTGAAGATGGCGACCGACAAGATCGTAGGGGACGACTGTAAGCTACACTCAGGTCGGGCATGTCCTCCAACAGGCAAATTTAGAAAGAGATTTATGACTCAAACCAAAGAAAGAAGGGCACGGAAAACCGTCCCCAAACTAGTGCTAAATTATTCTTGAATCTTCCTCCTGCAGAGGGACACGCCCGCCTTAAAGCTACACGTTGACTGCCTGGCCGCCATACGCTGCGCCCTGGTCCCGCACAGGGCGCACAGGCCGGCAGGGCCCAGGGCCCGGAGGGCGCGCCTGTGGACGGGCGTCGCCGGCACACTGGGAGGAGTGCAGATAATCGAGGTCAAGGCGCACCCTCGGCAGAAGGCGGTCGCGGACGGCCGCATCACTCAGATGCAGCTGGACGGCAGCCGCAAGGGCGACGAGCAAGCCAAGGCAGGCGCGTTGCTGGCAAGGGCAACGCTCACCGACATCTGGACGCTGGAGAGCTGCGGCCACATCGCCGAACTTGCACTGCCGTTTACGGGACTGCAGGAGGCGATGCTGAGCGACACCACGGTCCGCGACAGCGTGGGCGTGGAAGCGCTCGAGATCATTGACCTCGGCGAGTTCCCGCCCGAGTTTGACGACCTCCAGCGCGACCAGGCACAGAACCTGGACACGCCGAGCGCGGTGGACGCGGACCTCGAGCCGGCAGTGGCAGCCTCTCGTACGGCCAGTACTGTGGGGACGCTATAAGAGCGGACCTCTCTCATTACAAAAAAAAACCCTTGGGGCTTCATCTGAACTGCCTGAGTCAAAATCTGCACTGGCCCCCTGCCCCGCCGCCGCATGCACGCTCGGCCCCCCTCGAAGAGCTTCAGCAACTTGACGGTGTGCACGCGTCGCCTGCGAGAGGCGGTCGTTGGAGGCCTGGAAACGTGCACCAACACCAACACAGGGGGCCTTGCCTCCACAGAGGGAAGATGACACTGGATTTCGGTGCTGGTGGTGATATTTCGGTCACCCCTGGGCAGCCAGAATATCACCACCATCACCGAGATCGGGATCTCCGCCCCTCGGTGGAGGCACACCGCCGATCTCGGCGTTGGTGTCCACCCGCAGTGGGCCTGCGAGGATCGGCACGGGCAGGGCCTCACGCCGCCCCTGCGGCCTCCGCGCGAGGCGCCGCGCGGGTGCCGTCCAGGACGCCCTGCGCGGGCCGCCCGCCGCCGCCCCGCGCGGCCGCGGGGGGCGGAGAGGCAGCGGCTCGCGCACCCCGTGGGGGGCAGCGGCTCGCGGCCGAGGCGCGGGCCCCGTAGCGCGCCAGCGGCCGACAGCCTCTCGCGGCCCCTTGCGCTCCTCCTCCTCCTCCTCCTCCTCCTCCTCCTCCTCCTCCACCTCCTCCCTCCTCCACCTTCCTCTCCTCCTCCTCCTCCTCCTCCTCCCCTCCTCCTCCTCCTCCTCCTCCCGCCTCCCCCCCCTTCCCCCTCCCCTCCCACCTCCCCCTATCCGCCTCCCACCCTCCGCCTCATCCTCCTCCTCCCTCCTCTCTTCCTCCTCCTCCTTACTTCCTCCTCCTCCACCTCCTCCTCCTCCTCCTCCTCCTCCTCCTCCGCCTCCTCCTCCTCCCTCCTCCCTCCTCCCTCCTCCCTCCTCCCTCCTCCCTCCTCCCCCCTCCCCCTCCCCCTCCCTCCTCCTCCTCCTCCTCCTCCTCCTCCTCCTCCTCCGCCTCCGCCTCCGCCTCCGCCTCCGCCTCCGCCTCCGCCTCCGCCTCCCCCTCCGCCTCCGCCTCCGCCTCCGCCTCCGCCTCCGCCTCCGCCTCCGCTTCCGCCTCCGCCTCCGCCTCCGCCTCCGCCTCCGCCTCCGCCTCCGCCTCCGCCTCCGCCTCCGCCTCCGCCTCCGCCTCCTCCTCCTCCTCCGCCTCCGCCTCCGCCTCCGCCTCCGCCTCCGCCTCCGCCTCCGCCTCCGCCGCCTCCTCCTCCTTCTCCTCCTCCTCCTCCTCATCCTCCTCCTCCACCTCCTCCTCCTCCCTCCTCCTCTCCCTCCTTTTTTTCTGGTACTCCAGAACTCCCTGACCGATCCCTGGGGTGGGGGCGCAAATCATGGCCCAGGCCAGCAGCCTGCACCGGGGGGGGTCCTCAGGCGGGCGGGGGGAGGACTGAAACAGGCCGAGGCGGCCGACAGGCGAGGCAAAGCAGGGCCATCGGGAGTGGGCGCGCGCGCGCGACCAGAGGGTGGGCAAGTCCACATCCGCGCTAGCCGAGAAGCGCGGAGAGGCCAAGGCGTTGCGGAGGTGAGGCCGCGACGCAAGGCAGACCCAAAAGAGACGGCGCCGAGCACAAAAGACTCAAGGCTCACGATGCGAATGGCAAGCACGCCACTCACTGTAAGCTCCCGCTCCCAGGAAAGCCCTGCAGGCATGGTCCAGGGTTGGGCCGCCGGGTGGGGGATTCCGTCTACGGGCCGACGCTGGCCGCATGAGACGCCCCCCCACGACCGCCCCCGCCGTCAGAGCCGTCGTCAGGCGCGAACGACGGATCATAGAGAGTCAAACCCGAAAGAGGCGCCACCGGGGCTCCCGAGCGCCCAGGGCCTCCCCCTCGGAGCCCGACAGAACGGAGCTGCCGGCGGAGAGGCCGTTGGGGATCGGGCCCCCTTCTGGGGGAGATTCTCCGGAAGGGTCAGGCGTGGTCCCTGCGGGGCCGCCATGCTCGCCGGCCAGCAAGCCCGGCGCCCCGCAGTCGCCCCACATGTTGGCCACAGGGTGTGCGGGCGCAGAGGCCAGGAAGACGATGCGGCTGTATATGACGGGGACCTTCTGGCAATACGCGATGAGGTCGTCCGACAAAATGGGCGGATGGGAGCACGTGCAGGACGAGCCACTGGCATGCACACGCGGGCCAACAAAGCGCAAGAGAAGGCGCCCCTCCACCCACTGAGCAAGGGGCGGTCGAAGCGCGGTGCGAGGCGTCCATATCGAAGTCACCGCGTGGGACGGGTTTGTCAGCCGAGACGGGCGGTTGGAGGTAGGCGCCCCTAGAAAGGATCGACCAAACGTCAAGGCCGCGTGCCTTGCGCGCCCACTCGAGGAAGTCGTCCAGCCATGGTGCTTCGTGGTAGTCTGGGTCGAGAGGCGCGCTTATCAGGAGCAGCAGTCGTCCCAGGCGGTGCGGGCAGACGGGCTGGCGCGTTGAAACATCTCGGCACGGCCAACATACACACACACACACAAACACTTTGTCCTCAAGCGGCGACGTCGCGGCACCGTCGCGAGTGGAAGGCGGGGCGCGCTTAATGAAATTGCCACTGAGCGTTGTGAATGGGGCGTCTGGATGGAGTCAAACGCATGCAGACAAACGCAAGAACGAGCATGCACGTGGAAAACGCCGACGAGGCCCAGCTAATCTAGTAGCGCACGGACCACATCCGACACATCTGCAAGAGACGAATGAGCGAACATACATGTTATACCCTGCAGCCCAGCTGTAAGGGTGCGAAGCGAGGGTAACCGTGCGAATATAGGAAACGAATGCAAGGAAAAGGCCCATTCTGCACTGTGGTGCAGGGGTGAGCGAGGCACCACACACACACACACACACAAGGAGTACGAAGAGAATAGGGCGCGAGGCTTGAGGCGGGAGATAAAAGGTAGGAGGAATAATGGAAGAGGGATCAAGGAACAGGGAGCAGGGAGCCGGGAGGAGAGAGGAGAGGAGGGAGGTGGGAGGACGGAGGGAAGCGGGAGGTAAAGCGAGCAGGGAGGAATGAGAAGGGAGGCGGCTTGAAATATGCTCCCGAAGTCGATCCTCCTGCGGGTGACTGCCTGCCGCCAGGGTCGCAAACTGGCCGGTGAAGTCCAAAGCCCCGTACACAAAGGCCGTGCAGCCTACAGGTAGCGCTGCGTCGACAGACTCCAGACTCCACCTTGACTCCCATCTCAACGCCGACGACGACGCCCTCGTCTCCCCATACCTCCAGGCGTCTCGCCGAGAAATTGCGACGCCAATTGTACACGCAATCTTGGCGTCCCGGGACCGCTTCCGCTGC